ATTATTTCCTTAAACAGCGTTAACCAGTTGATCTTTGTAACGGTGAGGCGTTGTGTTTTCTTCGCGGTACGGACTGGATTCTTAAATGCTATTTAGACGAGCTTCGGCTTCGAAGGGTTAATTAATTATCAGAATAAAAATCTATTATTTCCTTAAACAGCGTTAACCAGTTGATCTTTGTAACGGTGAGGCGTTGTGTTTTCTTCGCGGTACGGGCTGGATTCTTAAATGCTATTTAGACTTGAAGCCAATTCTCTCTCACTTCGTACCTCGTGTTTCGTTTCGCAAAATGACTGTCTTCTACCCGCACTTGTGTTTAGCGCATTGCCGCTGCCACAAAACTGGCGCGTGTGTGAAATGGTTTGGGCTACGTTTCGTCTCCAGTTACTAAATAAGAGAAGAAGAAGCCATAGTTTAAGCCAAACTGCAGAGCAGGAGCAGGGACGTTACTGTACTGCTGGAATTCTTAGAAGAAAAAGAAGTTAAATGATCGAATTGTGAAAAATGGCGGCTGTGTGCGAAGCTCACGTTTTCCCAGTAAAATAATATGATCCCCGGGTTTTGGTCGTAAAAAAAGTTATTGCTAGTCCCCGCGTACCTATAATTTAATTTTAAAGCCAACGCTGTACGCATACACTGGCGAGGGAAAGTGGGAAAAAAATCGATTTCCTTTTATGATTCAGAGTATGCTCCGTCGGTCGCACATGCGCATTTGAAACTCGGCTCGGAGTTGTGATCTTTGACGATAGATGGCAGGACACGGTAACTCTGCAACAGCTGGTGTCTTGGCAAGTAGCGCCTCTAGTGGTGGTATCCCTTATTAAGACGGTTGTCGTGAAGGGAACGTACGTTGTGTTGTCAAGGTAATGATGTCGCTGTGTTACAGAGTTCGTCAGAAGTCGTGACGTGACACTAACTTTAGACTCGGTGTGACGGAGAGTTATTCCAAATTTGTCTTTTCTGCCAGTGGCGGTTTAAAAGGTTTTGAAACATTTGGACCTGCATTTGAAATGCAAAATCGTTTATCAATGACTTTGGTGTATGACAGAGGTTCCCAAATTTTTATACCTTGAGCCCCCCTTAAAACATTTCATAAATTTCACGCCCCCCTTTCCAAAATAAGTGCAAGGAAACAGATTTGACATAAAATTTAGTTATGAGTATACATTTTTTTTATAATTTAGTATATATATTATTCAATGCATTTAATTTAAAAAACTGTATTAAAATATACGCTTAATACCTGGATTAGCGGATGGCCGCTCTAAGGTCGTTTTCCAGGTTCATCGTAGAACGATAATTTGTTTTGATGGCAGCCACTGCTGAACTGCCTTAATCAAGCGAAGGATATTAAAAATGTTTCTCCATATTTCGTTCTAAAATATTTTCATACAAACAAAAACCCCCTCCCCCCATAAAACGACTCCCCCCCCAGGGGTTTCCCGCTCATGGATTTACCAACCAAAACTTATAAGGCATGTCGTGTTTCTCCTTCCCCTGTCACTTTATCGCTGATCGTCGTCTTTGGTGGACCCGTCCAGAAGGGCGTGGTGCCCCCCCCCCCCCGTGGCCTGCGCTCTTAAAACCGACGTGTGCGTCGTAGTTTCGTGATTTTCTTCAGTTCCCTAATGCCGGATTAGAAAACTCGTGATCGGCTGGGGGTCAGCGAGTTTATTAGATTTAAGAGTGTAATAGGCCACGGCCAATAACTCTCACTTTCCTCCTGCTCCTCACATCTCGTGACTCGGCTCTGCCTCGCTTGTACTATGCGTGGAGGTTTGCCCCCCCCTCCCCCCGTACGCATTTATGGAATGGGGCTTGGACACAGGGGTGGCCGTACCTTTTCTCAGATAGCCGAGTTGTGGCGAGCGTCTGAGCTCCCCTCGTATTAATTTACGTGTGTATAATTTAATGTAGTGAAAAGTGTTGTTGTTTTTTTTTGTTTGTAGCAAGTTTTGTTCATTTTGGGCCCTCATTTCAGCACCTTTATACATCGGAGGGTAGCTACGTTCGCGGAGAGGGTAGGAGAGGAAGAGGCAAGGGGCGAGGAACGGTATGTGCATTAGTAGAGTTGGTGCAGTAGTTCGTAGTTAGACTCGGGAGCGGTGAGTAGAGTTGTGTGTAGCTTGCAAGATATTTCGCGGCGTCGCCATGTTGGTATTTTTAAACACGCCGAAAGAATGAAGGGAAAAGAGTTCATTTAATATTTAGGAGACATTGCACTTTTGCACGAAATGGGGTCGCTTTTGGACGAAATGTCCCTCCCTGAAGAAGGTTTCCGTCCATCCCTTATTTTTTAAATGCGGAAATTATTTCTACATGCACTCATGTGAGTTTTAAATTCCAAAGAATGGAAAAGAAAACCCCACTTGCATTACGAATGTCGCTGTGAAAGTCTCGTGGTTTTACCTGGGCACTCAGAACTGAATATCACTTCACTCTCCGAATCTCAAGACTAGATGAGTCTTGGTAAGCTGGTAGTCGCTCGTCTTGTCAGTGAATGCCACGCATTTTTAATGAGAGGTTCATTACAGTGCTCACAAGAGCCCGCCACTGGTCCGCCTCTCCCGTGCGTGCTACATGCCCGTCCATCTCTCTTTCCTTCATTTGGTCATGCCATTAGTTTACAGCGAAGAACGCGTCTTATATGCTCTGTGACTATCCGTGGAGAAGTCGTTACCTTTGTTTGTCACTTCGAATCACTCGCGTTATGTCACGGTTTGTTTGTTTGTTGGGGGGGGGGATCCCCACCCTGCATCAGTGGCGGATTCTTGTGAAGTTGACAATTGGATCTCTCTCTGTCTCTGTCAGAAGAGGGACTGTGACACGTATTTCTGAACTGGTAACGTGGGAGGTCAGACGTTGTTATAGAGGTCACACGACCCCTTGCAATCTTTTCTGCCCAATAACGATGATAATATTAGATCCAAAGACGTGTGAGGTACGTGAGTTAGACTCGTTCTGATACTGGAAAGCTTCTCAAGCTCGTTTCAAAAATCATCGGGCTGGCATCTGTTGTAAACGCTCCGTTGTGAAACCACGAAAGTCGCCTGTTCTGGGGGGGTTGGGGGGGGGAACCACGCGCCCTTCGCTAATTTAAAAATTTCCCCCACAAGTTACTGTTCAGTGCGCCTTACGCACAGGTTTAACCCCCCTCCCCTCACCGCCCTCTCATGGAAAGGCGTCTTTTTAACATTTCGTGACTTGATAATAAACAAACGAAGTTCCTTTAACTTAGAGGTGCAGAGGTTCACAGTCCCAGTTAAGGATAGGACAAATGAAGCTAAGGGCGGGGTGAGGTGTGTTTGAGCCACGAGGTGGCATCCCGAATAAACCAGTGGCCTTCCAGAGGCCTCAGCATACAGGAATCACGACCTCCACAGAGCTTCTACGTAGAAAGTAGCTACTACGCATGCGCGGTGGTCCGAAAGCTGCTACGTCTTGACGACAGACGCGCTTGGTTAAATGGCTTTCTGGTTCTGGTATGTGTCACGTGAAAGCCCCTTCGCTCTCTATCTTATCTCTTGCAAACAAAATATCTGTTTTCACACGTCGCAAAACGCAAGAGGATTTGTACTTTTTCCCCAGGAGGGGCAGTAGTGTCGCGTCACGTTTGTTACAGTCAGAAAATATCCCCCGAGATGTCAGCACTTCACGCACTGTTCGTGCGCCTTGGTGTGACCGTCGTACATTAAAATTGCAATAAAATACCAACATGGCTGTCATGCGAAGTGTTGAGGTAGGAGAGCGCTGGTAGCTTCCGAAGGTTTGCATGTTGATACACAGTTTTATAAGAGTTGATTTTTTTTTTGTTAAATTTAAAATAACGTGTCCACTGTGAGACATGTTTTAGTTTGACGAAAATGCCTGCTTGTAGTGGTTTTATAAGCAAGTGTGGTGGCTTGTGATGGCAACTGCAGCGCGAATGGCGGGAGATTCTTATTTGCAACGTGAAACGTCACGACTCGAACCCCGGGTTTAACGGACCACGCACCCGACTGAGACAGTCCCAGCGACTTGCAGTTCTGATTATGAGGTGTGTGGACTGATTTCAGTCCATTGCCTGCCCCAGTCAGTGCCGAAGCTCGTCTATATAGCATTTAAGAATCCAGTCCGTACCGCGAAGAAAACACAAAGCCTCACCATTACAAAGATTAACTGGTTAACGCTGTTTAAGGAAATAATAGATTTTTATTCTCATAATTAATTAACCCTTCGAAGCCGAAGCTCGTCTAAATAGCATTTAAGAATTCAGTCCGTACCGCGAAGTAAACACATCGCCTCACCATTACGAAGATCAACTGGTTAACGCTGTTTAAGGAAATAATAGATTTTTATTCTGATAATTAATTAACCCTTCGAAGCCGAAGCTCGTCTAAATAGCATTTAAGAATTCAGTCCGTACCGCGAAGAAAACACAACGCCTCACCATTACGAAGATCAAGTGGTTAACGCTGTTTAAGGAAATAATCGCTGTTTATTCCGAGAATCATAAGAAAAACATGAACACAAAGTGTAGAGTAAATTAATAAGAAATCGGGTGGTACGTATAATTACCATCGGGATTTAAAGAATTGATGGTCTCTTGGGCAGATAGCAAATACATCGGAGCGACACCTTTAATTTGTCAGTGAATCGATTTCTGGGTGATGGGATCGCGAAGTTTGATCTCCGAAACGTCGCTGGTATGGGTGGCAAACTATGTGTACAACTCCTGGTCTCAGTCTGTGTTCCGCGTAACTCATGCGGTACGCGCGCATCCTCAGAGGTGTCCCGTATTTTTAGAAGCGCCTACTTTTTCCGAGGAGGCAGCGAGTTCGAGTCTTGGCCAGTCCCCTGTACCGCTGCAAGCTGAGACCGCTTCGGAGCACGAAGTATTGATCACTTCAAGACTGCTTCAGGGCACGCGCGCTGTTATTGGAGCCCGAGTCATTTACTCAGTATGCGGCTGGAAAAAGTAGTCGATCAACACTTGGTCTTCCGCGTGACCTCTGTAACCCGGCCCGCTCTTTCCTGTCGTAGGTGACACTGTTTTCCAGCCGCGGCATTCTGCTGTACCACGTGACTGATAGAGGATCACTTTGTACGCGTAACCTCGGATCTTCCGGGCTCCGGTTCGATGCTTGGCTCGTGTCTTACACTTTCACTGGGATTAGGCGGTCGTAGCGTGAGGCTGTTCACATTTTAGCGATGTCAGGAAGGCATACGGGATATCCTCACACTTTTGAAGTGTGCACATTAACCGCTCAATGTTGAGGGACAATGGACCAGCGTCGTATGAATAAACAAGGCTTTGCCGGCGTGGTACTCTGAGGCACATGTCAACTGGAGACGTTCCAAAATGCAAATCCAAGCTTCAACATCCATGTTGAAGCCTTTTGAGGGAGGTAAGATGTGACAGGAGGCTGGAGAATGTAACGTGATGACGAAATGTATAATCCGTGCTCTTTAGAAGATATTGGAACGTTCAGGTAGCTGTCTTCTGGTGTCTGTCATGAGATTCTGGTGATGGAGGCAGCAAGAACCTCCGAAACGTCTGTAATCTGCGAGACTTAACGGCGCAAGACCCCCCCCCCCCTCAAGATATTAGCCTCATATTGAGAGAACTGTAAATCTCACGTTCTTCAGAATTATTCGTTGTCGAAATCGTCAAATTCTCCCGCACATTTTGAAGGCGTTCAGCTCAGTCCCGCACTCCCACCTGCCGGCTGCTTCGAGAGTCACCCTGCCCTCTTCGGCTTCTCGTCTGTGGTGAATCTGTGACGGTTGGTTGGCTCCTGTCTCTGAGGCTGTCTCAAAAAGAGATTCGTGTCTTGTTTAAGTTCTTGACACTGCGTCGCCGAAGAACCTCATTTCGGGTGAATCCTACGACGGACTTCGCCCTGACCACCTAGTAATCGCTGAACCACTGCGGCAGATAACGAAGCCTTCCAGTTCTCGCGTTGTAGTTACCAGAATTCGAGTTCTTCTCGTCCCACTCGAGGGAGAGAAGTTGGTCGACACGAACTGCGGCCGTTTCTTCTCAGTCTGATCTTTTGAGTCATTTCGCGTCCGACCTGACCTTTGTTGTCATTTTGAAACAAAATGTCATTTTTCCGCAGTTTCAGCTAGTAGTAAATATACGTTAACTTAGAATGATTATTGTCAGTTGTGTTATCCCAGAATTTTTCTGTGTAAACGGAGAAATACAACGAAGATCCCCAGTCATAATGTCGGGTGGTCCTGCCTGTATTTTAATTGAATATCTGCAGAATTCGAGTAGAATGGAGTGAATGTGTATATCGCATGGCTGATACGTGATTTACTTCCAGTGAGCTGCTTAATTTACACAGGACTTGTGTCTGTTAAAAACAGAGTAGTATTGTCTGCTTTTATTTTATTTATTTAGTTTTCTGTCTGAGGACAGGTCCATATGACCAGGATCCTTCCATCCTTTTCTCGGGCTGGGACCTGTTCATATACGTTCTTGGCAGATGATCCAGAAGTGGTTTGCCATTGCCTTCTTCTGTGTGTGAATGGAGTAATTGTTGGGATGCCACGGAGGAAAACTCCGTGTTGCCTAGACCACGGCCTTGCCCAACACAAGTTATAAATTCGGGCACCGCCGGGAATCGAACCCGAGACCCCTGGATTACAAGGCCAGCGTCCTAACCGCTAGACCACCGTGTATGACATTTCCTACCCAAATTTTTGTTTGCATTTCTTGGTTGCCACCATACGTGCTAGATGTCTCACTCATTTCATGCATGTTAATATGACGTCAGATGAATACATTTTGTCGTGGTCTAATAATATATTCCCATTGACGCCTTCGTCTCTCTCTCTCTCTGTTAGGCGTGCCAGAGTAAACACTTGTGACATACATCGTAATTTCCTGTGTCCTTCTGCTTTTGAATGAAGCGGTGAGGTTTGATATCAGATTCGGCCGCTGTATCCGCTGTCTTCAGTGCCTCGTGGCCAGTTTCATTTTAATATTTCTTCCTTCCACGAACGATGAATTACCTCATTCCATTACCAAGCCCAGCAACACCGCTGATGTCACAACACAATTCT